TTTATTATATTAATAATACACTTAATGGAATGTTAAGAATATGACATAAAACATGACATACAATTAATAAGGATAGAAAATATTTGCCTCTATAAAGGTAAAAAAATGCACCTGTAAATCAGTTTAAGGGGGCAAATTGTCCTTTAATAGAAAAGGTGTGAGTGGTCTAAGTGGAAGAGCGGGGGTACGCAGAAGAATGTTAAATGCCCCAGGGGGTACGCTGCTGTAAAAAGTTTGAGAACCACTGACCTAAAGCATGCATGCATTCTACCATACTGATAATATGAGGAATCCCGCCTCCTTTCTACTATAAACATTATCCATCATATGCTTACAAAAGTTGTATTAGCCTGCAGCATGCGTGGGAGAAATACAGAAAGGCCACTCTGAGCACTTACAGGCAGATGTATTCATAAAAACCCTCTTATTCTAATTCAATTCACTGGAACGTTCCTTATATTCAAAAATGCACAGCTGCACAGTTAAGTCGATCTTGCCTCTCAATCCATGAAGGATGACCAGTGACTTAATAAGCAGTAATGACAGGCAAAACAACAAGTAGCATAATAGATTTACAGCATCACACACACCATTAGAGACAGAATACACATGACAACAAATAAAGTTAAAAAGAAAAGAAAATATGCCAAAAAAAGATGGAAATGGAAATGAATAGCCCTAATTATTAATTTCCTTCTTGACATCTTTTTCAAGTCACCATGACTAATTGACTGGTAAATATATCAAGAAGTCCTTTTCTGGCAGTCAGCGGTCAAGATTGGCGTCATTTGCGGTTTACAGTCTGAAACCAGTCACTAATAAACTTGGATTAGCCTGAATACACACATCAATGTTAAAGCTGAAGTGTGCAATTGGCTTTACCAAATGGATTTCCAAAAATAATTTGGTAAATAATTTTCCATTAGGCATCAAACAAATAGTCCTGCCATAAACAAACTACTGGCTGTGTGTATAATTTAGATGGTTGCACATGGAACAGGCTAATTTAAGATTGCAATAATACTAATAAATTCTTAAACATTTTTATTTAAATTCTAGCGAAAAATGTACAACTACTGTAATCATTAATCATTATCGACTAATCACCAATTATTAAAAATCTTGAAAATCCAGTCACATTTAACAGATACAGGGATAGGAGAGACGATTTTAATATTGACATGATTACACACTTTAGCTTTAAGGATTAATCAATGCTTAATTCGATGTCAATTTAATTGATTAAGCTTATCAAGATTTATTAGAGAATTTTTTTTAAACATAAGCTTAATTTAATATTAATTTTATTATAATTAATTATTAAACTCAGACTAAACAGAAAACTATGAAAATTCTTCAAAATTCAGTCAAATTAAACTGAGAAGCATCCTATATTATATCTGCTGAAAAACAGCTGCCAAATTTCTCTAGTACATCAGTATTAAACTAGAGCAAGGATCAGCATAAACTACTTCTGTATTGACTGCACAAAACCTCTACGGTTTACTAATTGCCCTTATATTACACTCTTTACACTGTTCTGAATTGCCTTATTGAACTACCATTAAACTGAATGGCATTATTGTATTGTACTGCACGGTTTCTACATTACTAAAGAGGACCACAAGGCACTAATCTGCCTACTGCACTGACTTATAATTTGTCTACATTAAGCTGGGTTTTTTCTTGAAAAATTATATTTTAGGCTTTGCATCCATATTACAATTCTTTTATCCTTCCGGTACACAAGAAACCATAAGTCACAGTTACCATCTTGAACAGTTGGTAAAACACTACATTTCTCTCAAAATCCATATACATATACCATATATTTGGAATAGATGATTTTGAATATTTTCACTGATGCAAGTCATGCAGCAATCTCAAATCAAGGCTTTCTCACTGAAAATGTGCGAAATTAATGAACAGAAATATACGGGGGTGAATCAGTAATGCAGAATCCGCAGAAGTGGCCTTGGAGAAGAGCCACCAAGTATAAAAAACCTTGAAGATTATGAAACATGATTATTTAAGTTGATAAACATCAATTTCTGAAACCAAATGAGTAGTTAATGAGATGATAAATATGCCATATTGCTTTATTAGCATCCCATAATCATGCAAAACCATTTGTCAGTATCAAAAGACGAGGTCGTATGCATACTCAGAAGCTGTTCACACAGGACGAGGCTGTTCCTGTAATAAATGTACTTTAAAGGGGTGGTTGATTGCGATTTCACTTTTTTAATGTTAGTTAGTGTGTTATGTTGCTGTTTGATCATAAACAATGTCTGCAAAGTTACGAAGCCAAAAGTTCAATGCAAACGGAGATATCGTCTTTTAAAATTCTGCATCGCTCTCTCTCTCTCATATTCAGATCATCAGCTCAATGAATACACTTATTTTCACATACTATAGTTATGAGAAGCGTTATACACGGACGCACGTGTGGTTGCCGAACTGTATTAAAGCTTTAAATCAGAATAAAACCGTATATTAAAAGCTAACAGAAGCAGTAGCATTTACAAATAACAGCGCATCTAAAAGTATGAGACAACAACAAACTAAAATCTTAGGCCTACCATTAAAAGCTGTGCTTGCACAGGTTCTGCACGATCCTCTTCAATAATATCCTCTGCTTCTCAATCGGGCTCAAATTGATAAGCAATATAGACGACGTCATTGTTTACAATACAACCGGAGCACATGCCGCTATGTTGAGGGGTGGGACGTTTAGACGCACGCTAGAGGCGGTTTAGCCAATCACAACACACTGGGCTAGCTAACCAATCAGAGCCCATCGTGTATTTCTGAGGGAGGGGCTTCATAAAAGCAGGAAATGATCAGTGCGTTCAGAGGAGAAGGGACAGAGAGGTGTGGAATAAAGGTAAATTATGTGAAAAATAATGCGTTTTTTAACAAACGAAGCATTAACACATGTTAGACTGCACCCCATAAACACAACCAAGCCTATAAAAAAAAACAGTCAACCACCCCTTTAAAAGAATAGTTTGCCTAAAAATGTTATTTAGCTGGCATTTGACTCACCCTAAGGCCATCAAAACTGTAGATGAGTATTTTCTTTATCCGAACAGATTTGGAGAAATGTAGCATTACATCACTTGCTGACCAATGGATCCTCTGCAGTAAATGGGTGCCGTCAGAATTAGAGTTCAAACAGCTGATAAACATCACAATAATCCATAAATAATCCACACATCTCTAGTCCATCAATTAACATCTTGTGAAGTGAAAATCTGTGTGTTTGTAGGAACAACTCCATCATTTTAACTTTAACCCACAGCTTCTAGCCATAATCTGAGGGCATAAGCCATAATAATGCTTCCCACAGTAAAAAATAGTCCATCCCATGTTTGCATTTGTGTTCATATCAAAATCCACCAACATGTTTTGGACTCTTCTTGCCTGTAAACAGTGTTTGATCTGTGCATATTTCTCTCATGATTCAGACAAGACAAATTTTTCACAACAGAAATCAATATTATGGATAGAGGACACATACTTTAGCCGCAGTCTGAAGATAAAAACATATTTATGATAGATTTGTTTCTTGCAAACATGCAGCTTTTCACTTTACAAGACATTAATTGATGGGCAAGAGTAGTGTGGATTACTTGTAGATTATTGGTGCAGTGTTTCCCATACATAAACTCTACCTGGGCGGCCCACCCAGGTAAATTGCGACCCGCCCAGGAAGATAAGATTAGAATTCCACTTTACAAAATTCCATATTTTTTTTACCTCAGTTGGATGACCCGTGTAAATTGTGTATATCCTGTTTTTTGGGGTTTTTGAGAGAGAGGGAGAGAGAGAGAGAGAGAGAGAGAGAGAGAGAGAGAGATAGAGAGAGAGAGAAGGGGGGGTTAACCATGAAACTAATGCACACGTCGTCGACACGTCATCCAATGCGGCAAGCTGGATCAACCATTGTTTCCCATACATTGATTTATTTGTGGCGGCCACACAAGTGTGACTTTAGCACTACATTTAGCAACTTTCAGACACTTTTAGTGACTTTTTTTCCATAAAAGGTACATACTGACAAACCTCAAATCGTTCAGTTGGAATATTTCTCCAGTACTGCCCCACGAGCGTGAGGTCTGACTTTCCCGGCGCAGTATCACCTCTCTGTGTCTATTCTGTGCAGTGAGCGGCAGAGAAGCAGCACATTCAGTTGGCCGTACCACAGCCGACTCGTCAATAAAGGAGTACAAAACAGCGTTTCCAAGCACCTGTCGCTTACTGACTGTTTGGGCTTATAAATATGAACATAGTTCGTCTGTTAATATGCACATAGTTTGTTACTCAGATGCAAGCAGTGCGCTGCATGAGACTAAAAAAAGTAATATAGCCAAAACCACCGCATATAGTCGTTCTTTAGTGTAGATGTATGTTGATTTTATCAGACGATGCCACAATTATAAATCAGGATTTAAGGAGTATAGTGAGAGTGACTCCTGGTTAAAATGTAGTATTAATGGGTCGTGTTTAGTATTTACAAGTATTTATACTTGTTTTATGTATGACAAAATAAAATGTGTAAATTGGAACAGCTTTATTGGGCATTCAGTTGTATTACAGTATGTGACAGTTCAGAGAGTAGAACAGATCTGAAGTGCCAAAACTTGTCTGAACGCAAACCCGATGCAATGACATAAATATGCTAATTAATACATGTCACCTGCTACCACAAGTCTCACAAAATCCTGTGGGAAACACTGTGGTGATAAAGTGATGTAATGCTACATTTCTCCAAATCTGTTCAGATAAAGAAACAAATGGATTACCTGATAAGGAGTACATTTCAGCAAAATGTAGTTTTTTGGGTGAACTATTCATTTAAGTCACCTCAGGTAACAGCATCTGCTCAATGAATATACTTCATTGTAATTAGTAATTAATTTAAAAGAAACAAAAAACAGTGTGCGAGAGAGGAAAGAAAGGAGAAAGTAAAAAAAGACAACAAAGCATGAAACTACCTCCTGCACACTCAGGCCTTCTTTCTGCATGAAGTAGTGCTTTTTGAACTCGTAATAGGAGTTGTACTGGTGCCAGGACTGCAGGAAGTCAAACCTTTAGGGTGTAGAAGACACACACATACACACAGAGAGAGAATTATAGTTATTACATATTACAGTGATCTAACAGGAGCGGTGAGACCTTCGTATCTGAAGGATGGCTGTAATGAGCATTAGCAAAATTGCTTACCGCGGGTCATTCTTGGCACGCACACTGCTCTCGAATTTCACCCCGTTTCTGGCCACATACTCTGCTAGTTTGTCAATGACAGGCTGGATGTCGGGAGGCGGAGGGATGATGGCTGCGACAGGGGCAGCAGCCGCCGGCACCGTCGGTGCAACGCTGGTTTGAGGAGGTCGAGAGCTGATGGATGAAAAGAAAAATAAAGCCAAATATAAGATTTTTGAAAAATGTCAAGTTTTGCAGAAAGCAAAGACAGTAGGGTGCACACCTGGAAGTTGGAGGGGCAACAGGAGCAGAATGTGAGAGCGGAGCAGACGCAGGAGCTGACACCGTGACTGGACCTGCAGCAGGGGCTGATGGGATTGCAGACACAGGATCCAACAAAGGTGTAGTGCCAGGGGGAGGAGGAGGACCAGATGCAGGAGCCGCCGGCATCATGCTAGTGGGCAGCGAGGTGTAATAAGGGCTGGCATCAATCCCAGGAGGCGGCGGGGCAAGGCAGTACGTTCCGTCAGGCAGTATACAGTAGCCATAGTACATTGCTGCCACATTAGCAGTGTGAAGTAAACACACATACACAGTTACTAAATCAGATGCACATCCAATGCAGACACTTAAAACTGTATGATAATATAATATATATATATTTTTATTTTTTCAGTAAGCTTTTTTAATGTGTTTGTAAGAAGTTTTTCACGGTCACCACGGTTTTTCATGTGTTTTTTTTTTTTAATCGAAAATATATTAAAAAAAAAACAATAATATTGTGGCAAATTAACTGGTTTCTATTTTAACATTTTAAAATGTATAGCTTAAAGCTGAATTTTCAGCAACCATAACAGTCTTCAGTGTCACATGATCCTTCAGAAATCACTCTAATAAACATTTCAAAATTTTGAAAAAACATTTGAAAAAAAAAAAGTTGTGCTGCTTAATGTTTTTGTGGAAAACATGATAGGTTTTTTTTCTGGGTTTGTTCATGAATAAAAAGTTAGAAAGAGCTGAAATCTTTTGTAACATTATATATCTTTACTGTCATTTTTGATCAGTTTAACGCATTTTTGCGGAATAAAAGTATTAATTTCTTTAAAAAAAATACAGAATGGTAGTGAATTTATTTAACACTTTTTATATATAATTATTGTATGTCTCCCTCATTGAATAACTGAGTCAAAATCCCTTTTTCTCTGCCATATTTGAAATGTAAAAGCAGAGCTTCATTCAAAGTTTTACTTGTCTGAATATTTTTGGTGATATTTGTCAAGCTCTGCATTAAACAATCAATAGCATTTCTGCTTTGGTTACACGGCTGGGAAAGTACACTGAGGGAACTGTTGACGCAAATGAAGAAGTAAAATAATCTACATTTGGATCACTGTCTGCATAATTAAATTTCCTTTTCAAGTAGAAGATAAAAAGCCAGCGGAAGAGAAAAATCACATTCGTTTGTTCTGCTCCACCACAAATAATTAGGATCAAACTGAACTCATGTTGAGATGGCAAGCATGTAAAGACATCCAGTTCTTGAAAAACACTTAATAAAGCCTAATTACAGTCAAGCGCTGCTCCTTCCCTTCAGTCAACTGTTACAATGGCAAAAAGAAGCATTAAACAAAGCAGCTTACTAGGAAACCAAAGCAAAAAGAGTCGTGAGTTCAAGCTCTGTTCTATTAGGCAAATACAGACAATATCGGTTACATGCAATTTTTTTTTTTAAGTTTTAAAGTTTTAGTTCACTCAAGAATAAAAATTCTGTCATCGTTTACTCACCCTCATACAGGTTTAGAACAACATGAGGGTGAGTAAATGACAGAATTTACATTTTTAGGTGAACTATTCTTTTAAGTGAGCACAGAAGTGTTCAGACTTCACAAAGGTAAAGAGATGAACCAGCAGCACTCTGACAATGACGAAACACTACAAAAGAAACAAAGAAATGTAAAAGCTAGAGGAATTAAAGCAACGCCATCTCCTGGGTACTCTTGAAAACAGGGCTGTTCAGGACCTAGAAGAGACCAATAGCCCTGCTCGTTTAGGCGAGTTTAGCATTCTAATAATCATGAATGGATGATTAAGAAATAATTTTGACAGGCCTGTTAACATCAGAGTACATCATAACCATATAACTGAATGACATCCCTGCTCAATAAAAACTCCAGCAGAATTCACATATCTCATAAAAAATGGGTCCTTACTCCACCTCCAGCTTAGCAGGCTTCATTTTCAATTATGGGATCTAATCGTTTATGTCGTCTCCCTGTGGAGATAAAGAGGCAGAGAGCTGTGGAAGATCCGGAGTCGAGCATGTGCTGCTGGATTTGACTCGAGCACTATTTAAGAAAGATTAGCCTGAAGAATCAACAGACAATCCTCGATTCCTCAGGGAACACGTCTCAAATGGAAACAAATTTATGCTTAATCACGCAAATAAGTTTGTGAGAGACTTCTCTTCAAGGAATTACGGTCTGAATCTTACAACACACCTCAGCTGTCTAAGAGAGGCTGTAACCCAAAATAATACTGAGACTGGAACGAAGCATGAAATGTCATACAGAGAATAGAGGACAAGAGCTAATGGAATGCAAGTTACAAGAAATGAACCAATTTTAGTTCTTGAACAAATTTCAACAATTCAGCAAGGAAGCATTACAATTGATCAAAGATGACAGCAAATACAAAAAAATATTATATCTCAAATGCATTGTTCTTTTGAACTTCTATTCAAGAATCCTGAAAAAAGTATCAATAGTTTACACAAAAATATTAAGCAGCACATGATAATATTAATTTTTGAGCATCAAATCAGCATATAACAATGATTCTGAAGGATCACATGACATTGAAGACTGGAGTAATAGCTGTACAATAGTAGGGATGCACCGAATATTCGGCAACTGAAATTATTCGGCCGAAAATAGCAAAGCAATATCTTTCGGTGTTCGGCCGAATAAGAGAAAAGGCCGAATAATATGTACCGAACAATGACTAATGCGATCAAATTGAGGCACGCACTAATGCAGCAAACATGTCGGCAGTGTGAACGTATTTAAAACTATCAGAGAAAGAGGCAGAAATCATTACAAGCACGAAGCACCGACAGCGAGAGACTGTTTAGTGCTGCATCACGTCTCCGATGAGAAGAAGAGGTGGCTGATGCTGGTGGTTAGGTTACTGTATGATGATTGAAATCGCGAAATTACCTTTAAA